AAAACTTAGAAAGTAGTTTCATTTTTCGTCTTCCTAATAGACTTCAAAGATAAAACATTTATTTTTCGATAGTATGATAAGAAGACGAAGATTATCTGCAGCCATTCAGATTGCAGAAACACATAAAATCAAATATCCATCATTCTCTATTGTCAAACGCATAGTTGAAAGAGGTCATAAGATTGATGTTAACTCGACTTTTGTGGTGTTGTGCAAAAGTGTGAAAGGGTGTATACTAATGTTTATTGAAGCTTTAGCCATACGAAAATTCAAACCCCCTTTGTGTATTCAAAAAACAGTTTGTTCTCACCTTAAATCTACTCTGGTAATATTAGCTTATTATTATCCAGAGTGATGAGGTTTCAAATTGTTTTCACATTATTTGCTTTATTATCCTTGTCTTTTCTTGCCATCCATTTCAAGTCTATTTGACCTCTTATTTATATGTGTAAATGTATTTACAATTGATTAATCATTGGATAGTGATCAATGTCATGTATGTCAGATCCTTCCCAGAGACTATGTTACAATGTGTCCACTGGTCTAGGTGACTAGATATCATTCGGTTTCTCTTCGTTCCTCAATCGTCTACCTACATCAATGAGTATACAAAATATACGTTTTGGAAATCCATTTTCGTGTTTGTCTTATTTAATTCTGTTATTCACTAATGCGATTTAAGTCGATAATTTCATGCGAGGATTGACAATATTTATATCTCAATAACATTCATACGATCCAATTGGAGTCAGATATAAGGCCACAAAATTTTGTGTTGTAGATTATTGAATAGTGTCTCTTCTTGGCGCTGCTGGATAATGGAGGCAACCTTTTTTGCCAGGTTTGGCGGTCGGTGAGTTTGGGCCGATGGCCCATTCTGTTGTATCTGATCAAGATGTTCTCAGACCTATGTAGCTCAAGTATATAAGTATATGCAAAGGGTATGCATGCGGTATCGCACAAAGGACACGTTGGGCTGCAAAAATGTATGCCATATGTCTAGTAAAATAAGCGGTCTATCTATAAGGTCGAAGATATAATAAAAAGAGGTGGTAAGAAATACTAGGTTAGAACCACCACAACCTGCCGTAAGAGAGTGCTTATGTTTATGTGTCAGGAAATACTGGGGCGCTAGCCATGGAGTGAGTGATATGCATTTAATTTGTAAGAGTAAGTCTAGTGTAGGAAATACGTTTTCTTTGGAAGCGGTGAATATCTACACTTTTAGGTAGGTGAATATACTTACGTGTATGCTATGAGATGCATGGGGTAAAACCTGTGTGTTACCAATGTGCATGTAACGTATATTTGTTCACAGGATACGTATACCTCAATGTATGCCAAGTGATACTCGGATGAAAATTTATGTTTTAACTGGTATGAAATTAGACTATTAATATCGAAGGCAAGTAAATTCGCAAACTTCTTTACTTATTCTTTTGATGCTATACAATTATGTATGCAAAGACCCGTGAAGCCATGGTCTCCAGTAAATAACATTCACGCAGCGGGTTTGTGAGCTTCAAAGAAACGGAATCCGTTCCACTAGGCTTCACTAGCTGTTTCCGACTGGAACACCACATATATATCTTTGTACAAATATGTTCTGGTTTCAAGAAATTGTATGTAGATAAATTCCTCACACTAGTTTATAGCCCTCATTTAGTCATAGTTAGTAAGTAAGCATTCCCAATGTCCTGTTAGCGTCGCTCAAAAGTCGTCCATAAATTATAGTATCAGATTTTAGACTATTCTGCTTTTTATTTTGTTTGTTTCTTGAACGTTATTGACTTAAAATATAATAACCTGCACTGGATTGTGTCAACGCTAAGTTCAATGTTGTTTATGATTGACTTCATCACTGAACACATTGTAAATAAGGTCGAGTATATCGAGGATTATTTTATTTTACACATTAAATTGTTAAATTATCAGAAGATATCTGCTTCAACTTATAAGGCTACATTGAATGATGAGACTATAATTTATGGATGAACCAATCAGATAATAAGATAACAAGTCACGAATTTTACCTCGAAATTCATCTATACATTTGGCTAAATAGAGTTTCGGCATTATAGCTGATGTCAATTCGTGATGAAAACCATAAATCTAATTTTTCTTAAACTCTAACCATCAACTGTAAATGAGAATTCTAACTGCTTTATAACCCTTATTTAATCCTAATCAGTAGGTATCACTCAAAGGTCATCCATAAATTATAGTCTCACTCATTTAATTCCTATTAAACTTATGTACCGTCAGTTGAACAAACGTTAGCTTTAAAACATTACCATTATTGAATATGAATGTTTTTTTAGTATTTACACATATTATTCATAAACTCTATCAAGTTGCGAAAAGTTTTCTAATTGCTATACCGGATGATATATCTTCATAACTATAATTATAAATAGTTAATATCGTGATATAGTGTAAACTGAATTGATTTGGCTGACTGTCGATCATCAAAAATTAATTAGGTAACATTAACAATGTAAATTCACGTAGCTTATTCACATGGGAAAAGATGAAAATGTTTGTGGCACATATGTTTATCAGATATTTTTTTCACAACATGAGATGGATACATTATAAACTAATAGGGCTTTTTTATTATAAAATTAAGGAAGTATAGTTATAAATAAGAAAGGTTTTCATTCTTTTTTTTAAATTAAAATCTGGCGTTCACACGCGTGATCGAAGGTCTTGGGTTCGATTCCAGCATGTTGGATTGTGAGTGCGCACTTGTGATGAGTTCAATATTAGAATGAAACGGTCTTTTAGTACTTCCAGATTTTTAATGATGGTCTAACATTGATCGATTCATGATTTCAATCAATAAAACTAAGGACTTTCTTATTTTACATTATTTTTCTAACTAATTGTTAATTAATTGTTTTTCTTGTAACCATAGGATATTACTCTGTTCTTAATTACCATTTCCCATAGGTTTTTTTTCAATGACTAAGCATCTAAGCTATAAAATCTTCACTTAATGTCAATAAAATTCAACAGGAATATAGAGAAATAAACCTCCAGTGTAATCCATAAGTACAGACAAATATTTAAAGGGTATTGTGGTTAACAAGGATAAACAATACTTCTTCCTTGTCAACTAGACAAGATATTTTGTTTTTGTTTTGCATTAGAATAAGTCATATCAAAATAACACCTATTATTGTTTCATTTTGATTAATCTAGTGTGTTGCTAAGTTTAATTTAGTTACAATAATGTCAATGTATATATATATATATATATATATATATATATCAGATAACACTTCTCCTCATTTATTCCATTAAAAATCTTTACTTGTATGATTTCATTTATTGTCATTCTCAAGAAATAAATGCATGAATAGGAAATGTCATTTAGCTAACATTATTACTGTTGTGATATATGAGAACAAAGTCGGTAACAACCAAATGTACTTTAATATAACATGGTAAAATTTAAGAACTATAGAGTAAATATTTCATTTGCAAAATATCTATCAATTCTCTCAGACTTTGTAAGTCATTCATTTGCATATTAATCACATTCTGTTCTCGTTCTCTGCTCTTTAATTTTCTTACCCTTTTGCCACTAGACATTCCACATCCTATTGTTACTATTAATGTTATTAATACTTAATTTTTAGGTGTCTTACGTAGCCAATCAAATAATATACATAGTGTATTTATTTATTATCTAAAACAATTCGGATATCAAGTTATTCCGTGGGTTCAAATGCCAGAATCGACATCAACTCTGAGATGCAGATACATCCAGCTGACGAGTCCCGAATAGGACGAAACTGGATTCCATTGTTAACCAACATCATGTCAGCTTATAAACAATTATTATTTTGTGCCACTTTGTAGTTATATATTTTTAGTACGTAAAGAAATGTCTTAAAGATAATACAGTCTGAAATGTAGCTCAAGTAAGTTGTGTTTTTTTTTGAAAAAATCTTTCAGATAAAATTAAATAAAATTTGATACTTTTCATATTTCAGTTGAGATTATGAACCGATCAATCTCATACCACAATTAAAAACTTGAAAGCACTGGACGACTATTTCGTTCCAGTATGAGACTTCTCAATAGTGCACATCCACGATCCTTCATGCGGCACTCGAGCCCAGGACCTTAAGTCTCGTGATCTCAAATTAAAACTAATACTTTTCAAATTTCTGAAAATGGAATAAATGATCTCGATCATGTGTTGAATGAAAAAATATTTCGTTTTTTTCACTACCAAACATGAAAAAGAGTGACTTTAATGGTTGAAAAGTAAGCTATTTTAAAATGTATCCAAGTATTATATAATATTGGTTATTTATGTTTGATGAAATTGATATGACAGAAATTTCATCGATCTGTATTTTCTTATTTCCCCAGTTGAATTTATTTCTGTTGTTGTTTACATCGCATCATTTCATTGATAGGTTGTGTTGTAAAGTGCGTGACCATTTTGTCCAACAAAGTGGTTTGTTCATAACTAATAGTTATACTTACATATTTAACATCACTGTAAAAGCCAGGACTCAATGTTTACTGATGGAAAAACCAATTTTTTCTAGAATTATAGATGTTCATTTACCGGGTGATGAGGGTTTGAATTCACGAGGGAGAATTAGTTTCTTCATATAATAGGTATGCTTGTCAAATCTATCTCAACTAACATAAAACCTAAAACTAGGTTTTACTGTCCACTGCCTTCAACCATTTAACATCTCATATTCTATTTAACAATGTTACCTTTATTACTAAAAGATAAAATGTAAGTAGTATTTTGGTAATCCAATAAAATAATATTTAATCACAAGACATCATCACTATCATAAACAGATCTCTTCATGTAACTTTTATTAATTACACAGCATTACATTTCGTGGTTACTAACAGGTACTTAAAACTATGAATAAAACAAACCATTCATCTTATGACACTTGTTTTTTTAATCATCACAAATAGAAAAAATGTAAGAAAATGATCGATTATGTAACACTTACTCTCATAAATTCAACACTTGAATCCAATGGATTATCCCGATGAAACAACAGAATAAAATTTTCTTCAGTTGGTAAAATTTTAGCCATCTAAATTATAGAAGATAGAAAAAGAAGTGCTAACAGATTATTATAAGAAAGTATTCAGTTATGATTAACTATTTATTCACTTAATTGTTACTATCAGTAAATAGTACAGAAGGAACAATATTCCGTAAACAATCATGAGTGACTTTTGTTATAACTTGTGGCCTGCGTGATCTGTTTATTGTATAACATAAGGATACCACCAATTAGAGAACAGTGAATTATCAATCGGACCTATGACGCGTAAAACCCGTACAAGCAGTCTAGAGTCCTTATTGGTCCTGCTTCCTGCCTAGCCCAACCAGTTAAGTCCAGAACACTAATCTCAGCCTCTGCGATATGAATCCCAAAAGTTACCATTCATTATGTTTATCGGGGCATAACAATTTGTTTATTTATTGTTAAGATTAGATTGATATTATTTTTGATTTTGTTAGAAAATGAGGTGATTGTAATTAGTTACTTAGGTTTAATGAATTATTTCATGGTTCAATCATGTTAGTTGTAAGACAGTTAGTTATCTACCACAGGCAATGAGAGATGGTTGCGTTATATCGTGGTTTGGTTGTATTAAGATTTATGCACTATTAAATCGAGGCTCAGCGGTCTATAGGTTAAGCGTTTACACACAGGACTAAACTTTACGGGTTCCATCCTCCATGAAGCAGTCGTGAATTTGCAATGACCAGAAATCCTATACGACAACGAAATGGAGAGAGAGTTATATATGATTTCGAACGGTGGTCTAGTTAACATAGTTTAATGATGTGAACAATGAAAATTTATGCAATTTTCACAAAACTTTATACTGAATATTACGTCCTCAACTGATTTCACATAGCGAATCACTAAACATTAGAAAAAAACTGTTCCATCTTATTGTATATATGACTTCTAATTGTGAAATATGGAAACAAGTGACTAGTATGCAACAAAATGAACGCATTTATTCATAATGTAGTTCAGTCATCATTGTATACTATTGAGTGATATTATCTTAATAAACATAGACTGATCAATGATGAGACAAACACCAAAAACTGTTGATCAAAATAATCTGATTGTATTCAACCAGTCTTCATGGAAAGGTGTAATTTACTAGTTAATCATCTGATCGAACTCTATGAGAAGTGAATGAGATGTTATTGATTACGACCATGCACTCGGTTAGAGTCTACGCGTGTTACATGCCTTGTTGACGTTAATTTACAACCCTTGTATTTAGATTTACAGCTGATAACGCAAACGATCATTTGAACACTTTATCAGAGACCTCAATTTGATCCATCATTTAAGATTAGGGCTGTCCACTCTCCCCATTCTTGTTTAACGTTGTCGTTGAAGAGGTTTTAGCTATGAAACTTTCCTCATTTAAAATTTCAGGAGTTGAACTTCTACCGAAAGACTCACTTGTTGACTTAGAGTATGCCGATGACATAGTTTTATTTGGTGAAGACGCTGACAAAATGCAGAGTCTGCTGACCACTAAACGCAACAATGCAAGCATGTTCGGCATGCGATTCTCCTCCTCGAAATGCTTAATGTTGCTTCAGGATTGGGTTGCATCGACACCAGAACTAATGATGGGGAGTGAAGTAGTTGAGCGTGTCGACTGCTTCACTTATCTTGGAAGTCTCATCAGCCCTTGTGGTCTATTGTGTGACTAAATCTCGGCACGGATTCAGAAGGCTCGACTAGCTTTTGCCAACTTGCATCATTTATGGTGTAGACGAGATATCCGTCAACCAAGCAAAGAACGGGTTTACTGCGCAGCAGTTCGTTTCGTCCTACTTTATGACAGTAAAACATGGCCATTAAGAGTAGAGGATATTCGTAGGTTACTAGTATTTGATCATAGGTGTCTTCGAAAGATTGCTCGTATATCCTGGGACCACCGAGTAAGTAATTCAGTTGTTAGGAAATGGGTACTAGTTGAGGATGGCAAATCAATTGATGATGTAGTAAAACTTTATCAGTTGAGATGGCTGGGACACGTGTTACGTATGCCCGACCACCGACTGCCCCGACGTGGTGTAGGAGTAGGTTGGAAGAAAGCTAGGGACGGCCAGACCAAAACATGGCACAAATTTATGAAATCACTGACAAGTGGGTTGAGTCATGTTGGTAGGTGTAGACTACACGGTTGGGATCCGCCAGACGATAACAACCGATGATCAAAGACCTTGGATGAATTGGTTCAAAATCGTTTGCAATAGCGGAGGTGCATACACTCTTTGTGTTCTTCAAAATTCTAGTCTTCTGAATTCTTCACGTCCCTTATTTTTTCTCTTTCCAAATTTATTTTATTGGATTATACTCCTTGAATAACATCTTCAAACCTTAATTATTCCGATTATTGCTTATACTTTTACTACCTCTACCACTATGTGATTTGAATGGACAATTGTATCTGTATGCTAATGTGGTATGTCAAGTTGAACTGATGTACGTATGTACGAAGTTCTACGTTGTTATTGACTGACTGACATCATTTCAGATTTTCACAATAATGCTAATACTAATACTAATAATAATATTATTAGTTATAAATATTAAAACAATTTAAAGAATTATCCTGTCTACGCTTATTTTCCCCGCCTTCTTTTCTATATTTCTCCCTGATGTTCATAGCTTTGTCATATCATTCGATTACGGCTGCCAAATGTTAAGTCAGTTGTCTAAAATACTTTTCTCTGTGTAATGAGCTTATCTAAAATAATGATGATAGTTAGTGTTGATCTTTCTTTTGAGAATTTGTCATATATATGTACATATATGTTCTGCTCGAAAATGTACACACATTCGAACGGGTACATCTATCCATACATTTAATAAATTGGTTTATGAATAATTCATAGTCTATTTACCTATAACGTTATATTCAGTTGACTGTCATCATTTTATCATCTTCCTATTTTTATTCTCATAAAAACATACTTAAGTGGACAGATAAAAGAATAAATGTTTAATGGATTTCAACTAACTGTGAGAAGAAGAACATAATCTGAGATGATTTCTGACATAGAATACAATGTCCACCACCATTACTACTACTACTACTACTACTAAAACTATTATGATTGCTACTTAAACGTACTTCAGTAAGCTCAATTCGATTGTCAGAATTTTCATCGAATGCTTCCATAAATTCTTTTTTCATTAATTCCAACTCATCGCTAGGTATTGTCTAGAAGAAAAATAGAGATAATTGAAGGTATACAAGTGACAAAGAAAAAACACTTCATATTTAATCAAGCTGGACAAATTGAATAAATTTCAAACTTGAAAATAAAGGGGAACAAAGTAAATTATGATTATTTTCATTGTTATTATTATTATTGTTAGATTGGACTGATATTGTGAGTGGATCAATGTTAGAACACCATTGAGAATCTAAATGCACTGGATGGCCTTTTTTTCCTAGTATAGAACAGAATGGCCCCTTCAGTACTTTCAGGTTTTCAGTGATGATCTAACATTGATCCATTCATGACATCAATCTAAACTCAACAGGTTTCCAATGATCGTCTAGTTTAAAATTACTCATGAATTCAACTATTAAATTACTACAATATCCACAAACCCCCATTCTGATAATTTTATATATGGTAGGTATTCAATATTGCGAAACTTCGCCTGTTGAAGAAATAATGGAAAACAGAGAATTATGAATGATAGTTTTTATCTGCTTCCATTTCAACAGCCGTTCGGCACCTGAATGGAGAAGAAATATGACCTTTCGATTTGATTACCAGTAAGATAATATTTAGTCATTTTGTCAGTATCTGTTAGTTATCACTTATATAGTTGTTGACTAGAATGAAATATTATTTCTTATAAAATTTTATATTAAACCGTTAAACGGTTGGTATTAAAATACTAGGCAAGACTATAATTTATGGACGAACCAATCGGATTTAGGTTATCAGGCTTCGGATTTCGACGTGAAACTCATTCACACATTTGTCTAAATAGAGTTTTGGCATTCTAGCTGATATCTGTTCATAATGAAAACTATAAATCTAATTCTTAACCTTAACCATCAATTATAAATCATAATCTTTATTCTTCACACTGCCATATAATTCTCGTTTAGCTTTAATAAATTAGTGGACATTCTCAAGATTACCTTAATGCCCCCCAAAGGTCGTCCATAAATTATAGTCTCACCAAATACTAAATTCACAATATAACTATATACATATTACACGATATACATTTATTTCATATATATTCATATAAACAATGCAAACATGTCAATAAATATAGCGTGGAATCCGACTATACTCACAGAAATATACCTATTTAAGTGTTCAATAAACAATATTTAAGATACAAATATTTATTCTAATGTGTACGCATAAATCTAGAGAACATCTATTATATTCAAGTATTCATAATCATGAATATAATGTATAATTCATTATGAGTAAATATAAAACTAACCTGTACTGCTCAACAATGAACATCTACGATACCACCCCGTGAGATTCAAACCCTGAATCTATTAGTCTCGAGTGCAAACGCTTGACCTTTAAACCACTGAGACGACCAGTATTTAATGGTGTTAATTTCTAACTTCATTGGTTTGAATCTCTTGAGGTGGGATTATGGATGCTCACTGCTGATGAGTTTCATACTAGAATGAAATGGCCATTCAGTCTTTCCAGATTCTCTATGATGGTCTAGCTTCAATTGACTCATGAATTCAATTATTAAAACTCCTAAAATCTCCACAAAACTCTCTTCTAATAATAAAAATAACCATTAAAATTACAAAATTTATTTGTTATACGCTTATTTTATGATAACACTATTCAAATAGATAAAAGGTATCTATAACACATACAACATTCTATAGATAGTAGATACATAAAAATAGATGAATTTTTTTTTCGTTTTTTTTCTTTTTTTTTCTTTTTTTTCTTTTTTGGTTAAAATTTTATATTCACTATAAATAAATTATATTTCTTTCATCACACATGTTCATATGAATATTGTTTCTCATGAGTATGAGAATAATAATAAATTATAATGGTGTTTGATAAGTTAAAAACAACAGAAACAACAACAAAAAAACCAAAAAACAAAAAAAAGAGAGAAAATTTAAATTTTATATTCAATTAAGTTCTTATTGTTTCTGGGATAGAGAGAAAAAAACAAAAAATATATTTTTTTGGTCATTTCATAATGTTTCATTTAACTTATTGTTTGGGGTTTTTTTGTGGTAGTTTTAAATTTATGAGAAAAAAAAACAAACAAACAAACGACTATAAATTTTCATTTTTGAAGTTAAACACTTTTTTTCTATGGATAACATGTGATAAGTTAACTAAATAAATATGTTTTATGAGAATGGGGATTTGTGGAGTAGTATTGTAGTAGTAGTAGTAGTAGTAGTAGTAGTAGTAGTAGTAGTAGTGGTAATAGTAGTATTAGTAGTAGTGGTAGTAGAAGTAGTAGTAGTGGTAGTAGTAGTTTTAGTAGTAGTATTGTAACAGTTAAATTCACGAGTTAATTAAAGATCGATTGAAGTTGGATATTAACACTGATAGATTACGGTTAAGTTGTCTAGAGGTTAATCGTTCATAAGCAAAACGTAAAGTCCTGGATTTGTCACCCACATTTGGGATCGTGGGTGTGTACTACTGAGGAGTCTCATAATAGAACAAAACGGTCGTCTAGTGGTTTTAGGTTTTTAATGATGATCTAGTTTACATGGACTCATTAATTCAATTAGTAAAAATTCAATTTAGCCTGGATATTTCTGAATAATCTTGTTAATTTATAGATATATTAGCCGTATTTAACAATACTATGATCAGATATAAATGATACATTGAAGTTTATGTCGATGGTATAAAATGAACATTTTCAATTTTTATTTCTATATAAGTTGTAGATAAATTCCACGAAATTTATTTTTATTCGTCATAGTGAATAATGGACAGTTAAGTAATTAAACAGTTTTTATTACATAATAAACAAATTTGATAAACATGTGTTAGTCAATGAAACCGGTATTGTTTAAATATCATCCATTGATCTTATTCTGAAATGAAACACGTTTGTGGCGGTCTGTATGAATATCTAGGGAACCTGTTCCTATCATCCAAATATTTCAACAAGTTATCTACCTTTTGTTTGTTTCAACACATCACTATATCCGTTAATCGAATAATCTATTTAGATGAATTTGTGAAATGTTTATGATCTTTCGCTGTACAAATTAGGAAAGAACACAATCAGAGACATTGTGGTGATTGATAATATGCATTGAAATGAATGAACATTAGTGAGATGTTGATTCATGCACTGTTAACATGTAACTGGTAATCACTCAATACTTATCGTATGGGTCGATCAAGAAATAAGAAAAGGAAATTTGTTGGAATACCTTGTGCTGAGATTTCTATATTATACCAAAAATATAATATTGAATAAAGTCTTTAATAATACTAATAATTTATTAGGATGATATCTGCAGAATCTCTAAGAATTTGTAGGCTTTTCCTAGGATGACACAGTTAGTGTCAAAACAATAAAAGTAGATTTACTATGTTGAGATACAAATGTTCGCTTAAGTTAACTGTGAGTCAGTTTCTTATTGGTATTAATGGTTAGGAATTATGTTATATTTTAAACTGACTAAAGTTGAAGTATGTGAATGATTGAGAACCTTATCGAACAACTTAACATCATGGTAATAGTCATAAGACTTAAAATTTCTAACTTTTATCATATCGGGTTATTATATTTCAAAATTTAAACAATTCAGGTATTTAAGCAAAAATGGATGGTAGCTAAAAGTGGAACCTAGTTTGACTCACATTCCGTCCTATTTTGTGGATAGCAATGGAATCCGTTTTGACGAGCGTTTCATCTTATTTATTACTCGTCAGCTAGATATATCTTCATTTCAGAGTTGATATTCACTCCAGTACTCGAACCCAACACCACTCACTTCAATCACCATCGTGTTATTGACTTAGCTACTGAGTCCAAATAGCTACTGGTTCGTGCAGTACAGTATTAGCCACCAACTATTTCTGCTTATAAAGTATGTGACCTAAGGTAATATCAAGGCATTCTATACAATTTCTAAACATCAATGGCAGTAATCAAACAACCAATACAATAATAAATTAATCTTATACTTAGTCTTAAAATTGAATAATAAAGTTTAATAAGTTTAACTATAACCTATCGTCAATTCATTGGACAAATGACGTTTTTCATTTTAATTATTGAATAAGAGACATTCAATGAAGTCAAACAGATTACTATTTATTCAATCATAAATATATATATTTTTAACAACAATGACACATTTACTATTATTGTCTTACTATAAACTAGTTTATTATTAATAATTTCAACAGTGTATTACCAGTTCTTTTTTCCTTACTTGGATACTAGAATATGTTCATATGGCGACTAATAAATAACTTCCTTAGTCTATATTTATCCAAACGAAATTAATTAATGATTGAATGATGTAATCAATTATTCATTCATTGGTATTATATATGTACGTATCATAGAAAATCTTTCTACTCGTCGTTTCCTAACGATTTCACATGATATATTGTATCGGGAAAAAAAAATACTTACTACAGTTTTTTTTTTAATGATGTGACAGTTTATTATTACATATGACAGACATGATACTCCTACCATTCAAAGTTTAGTTTTAAGGGTAATTCTAATCAATGTTTGATTGATTTAGATTCGAAGAGTGAGACAGATGATCATCATCAACTAGGGTAAACTAAAGAGTTAGGAAAATCTAAAAAGTATGCTTAGTTCATTTTTGAATATTTCTACTAGTCCATATTTATCATTTCATGTAGGAACGAATATAGTACTTACAAAGCTTATAGAGAGGTAATATCTTACCAATAATATTAGAATGACAACTATGTTACAGATAGAAGTTTTTTTTTGTGTGTCGAATTTCAATATATAAACTAATGTATTGTGTCACAGTTCATGCATATTTAGTAATTTGAGGTACTTATGTTTCACCCATTATAGTCTGGTTAATGAATTGTGCTATGAAATTCATAGCAGGTATGCTGAGCTATTTACTTTTTCTTGTGCAAAATTACTCTTTAATAAGTTTGTCAATAATTATAATTCTGAAACAGATTCTCTTGATTATGTAAAGATAGTCATATTGTTGTTAACGATATACCACATATTGTATTTAATTAAAGTACGTTTATTATCTTTATAAGAATATCATTGTGTACAATTAAGTAAGAACTTTCAACTTTAAACTAGTAGAATAGATTATAAAGGTCAATTATGTTATGTATTTGATGAGACTATAATTTATGGACGAACCAATAGGATTTGGGATAACGGGTTTTGAATTTCGGCACGAAATTCATTTATCTATTTGACTAGATAGTGTTTGGAAGTTCTAGATGATGTCAGTTTGTGATGAAAACCATAAATCTAATTCCTAAACTTAACCATCCACTGTAGACCATATTCCTTATTCTTTACAATGGTTTATAACCCTTATTTAACCCTAGTGAGTAAGTAAACATTCTAATATAATCATATTACTTGAGATTTTTGATTTTAAACTGATTACTTAACAAGAAAATTACTGGCCATATGAAAGTCATAAACATAATCCTGTAGGGTCAGTGGAAAGTCACTGAGCCCTAGCCGAATCATTTAGCTATTGGGTCCGTGAATACTGAACAGTTCATCTATCCCAGTCAAGATCTAGTACAACCAACGCGCATCAGTTAATCGTACTCCATGGACTGGCCCATTCTGTAGTGCTCGCATTTTTGCTTGTATCTACTCTAATTGGTATATTTCTGCAATAACGTCCATTGTGTTATACGATTATCAAAGCAGTAATAGTACGACAAAGGGGTAAACCTTGTTAGGTTCTGACTGCTAAGTGTAACTTGGAAGTTAGTTGTTGGTCACATCATTCCTGTCTCACTCAAGTAGGCCCCAAATTATTCGACATAGATCATTAAAGTTAGTAATCCACACTCCATTGTTATTCTTATAGGAATTAATTTTATTCTACAGATTATTATTATTATTTTTCTTTGATTTCTCACTAATTATTATAAAACCACCCGTTGAATAAAACACTTTATCATTCAGATTGAAAATGTACTTATTAAGTAGCTCGAATTCAGTAGTAAATTAAAGTCAGAAGGGGTTTTGTGGAGACTGTAGTAATTTCAATGATTAAGATCATGATTCAGTTGAAGCCAGACCACCATGAAGAACCTGGAAGCACTAAACGGCCGTTTCGTCCTATTGTGGGACTCCTCAACAATGCGCATCCACGACCTCTCCCCCTGCGAGATTCGAACCAAGGACCTACTGATTTCGCGCGCGAGCACTTATCCACTAGACCACTGAACAGGCATCCAGTGGTGTTAATATCTAACTTGAACTAATCCACGAAATTGAGCGACACACCTACCATTGTATTCAGTGAGTTACTATCTCACTAGAGACCTGGTTGAACTCCACTGGTCACTACTTCTCACTAGAACTCCAGGATATACCTCTTGAAGCCAGTGCTTCCAGGTTTTCCGTGATGGTCTAGCTTCAACTGACTCATGATCTTAATAATTGAAATTAGTAAATTAAAATTTAACTGTATTAACACCGTTATCTACCGAACTACGTCATAGTCTTCAATAAAAGAGAAAAATAAAAATGATCTCTATGTTGTTATTTGCATTTAGTTTTGTTTTTCATTATTTATGAATGTCTGGTAGCAGAGAGACGAGAAGATCGAACAATAAAGAATGAAGAAAGAATGCAATTTGTATGAAAATGCAAGAAGAAAGGGATTCTGAATCATTTCAGACAATTGATGAACTATTTGCAAATTAACAATTTAATATATGGTTGTTGGATTTTACTAACTATGATGTTCAATTCGGATGTATTTTCTACCATATATCTTATTTATTTAACATGTTGTTGAGTCAATATAATAGACTGGGGGTTTTCAGTAGAATTTTAATATACTCATTTCTTAAGCATTGTTGTACCACATTATAACTGATCCTCAACCATTTGCTCAGTTATCCACGACCTATATAACAAGTATGTATACTTCTTAGATTTCCTGAGAATATAGAAGATCACCATAGTTTAATGTTGATATTACCAGTTAAAGAAGAATGTTCAGTGTATCAATGTTATACCGTTTGATTTCTAGTCATCCATTAGTGAGTTCACTGAATAATGATAAATTATTACGTTTTGGAGTCTCTAAATGTTATAACCAATTCAAATGCTTCTATGAATTCAATTATATTACTCTAATTACTAGAGATACTCACTATATTTCTGAACATTATTCTTCAATATTAACTAAAAGACATCAAGGAACAATGTTCTTGTGAATTTAGTTGGAACCAGACATTGAATGCACATAAAAATACTTTTTCAATTTATCCAAGAATATATGCTCAATGTTTAGTTCTTTTTTGTATCATATACAGAGAGAAATATATGATCCCGAATAAATGTAACATCTCTTTTCCATAAGACATTTCTATAATCTCCTTGATTATATATTATCTATTTATTAAATAAAAATAGCTGTTCATAATCTGATAATCGATAGCTTACTGACTTATAATTGGATTGATTTTGTTAACCTCTAAATGCCCTGGTACGGCCGAGGGTAGGGAGAGTTAGCTCACCTTCTCTACATTCTCTCACATGGCCAAGCGTATACAGCCACTGTCACAGAAGTTCTACTCACTGCCTTCTCTCGGTATTATCTTCGTTTACGAACTTCAGAGGACGGAATGTGAATGTCTGGTGCTTTAACCAGGCTAGTGGACACAGAGGATCTATCCAAGGGAGTTGGAAAACTCAGATTTCAAACTAACCGTGCACATGAGATCCAGGATCCTGTGGAAACAAATAGTGTATGCACCTGTTGTTGGTCACCCACTTCTATTGGATTGCATCTCCTTACGTTGCTCCACTGTCCTGTGGATCAGACCTTTAGGTCAAAGGCTCCAGATGTGGCTCCCTAAGAAAACCCTCCGTTTCAGTATGAGCACTCGGGCAGTATCACAGTCCACACAAAAATCAAGTGACTTGTGTGACGCATATGTTTTCGTTGCTTCTTTGCACCAATATTTATGCATTCAAATAAAATAAATTAATTACTTGGTTAATAGCAATTTCAATAGTTAAAATTATGAGTCAATTAAAGCTAGACCACCATAGAAAACCTTGATGAACTGTACGGTCGTTTCGTCCCACTGTGGGACTCTTCAGAAATGTACATAACATTAAATACAATATATAGACTGTTAACTAATGCCCAATTACAGAAAGAAACAAATTTAAAAAAAAAGAAAACGTGTAATTTACTTTCATAAGTTAAATAAGACCAATCCTAAACACTTTAATATAAAATATGAATTTGTATATTACACTTACCTCATTTCCTAATTCTTCAGAAAATACACTATAGATGAATTCACGTAAGAAATTATCCAATTCTGAACCTTCAATATAACCATTACCTGTCGAATGTTAAATAGAAATATACAAGAGAATTGTATTTAATTTAATCACTTCAATTCAAATAGTTTATACAATTTGTATATATCTACATGGATTTGTTCAATATCATTAACAGTAAAAGCACTTGCCATTCTTGTAATGAATCCAGAACTATGCATAGAAATGAAGTACATTTTATTCTTACCTTTATCATAGTCATTAACTGTTATTATTATTATTATTCCTTAAAGAAAACTACAAATCATCCTTCTAATATCTGTATGTATTATAACTTTTTCAGTCAACTGAATTTATTTATCAGAATGAGGATTTGTAGAGATTATAATAACTATAACAAATGAATTCATGAGTTGATGTAAGCTAGACCACCATTGAAAATTTGGAAATAATGGATGGTCATTTCGGATTGTTTCTATATTGCATTGATTCACGAGCATGATGGGCAAAGATGGACAGTGGCTAGCAGTGGGATCTTATTTGACACACGTTTCGTCCTATTTGGGACTCGTCAGCCAGATGTATCTGAATTTGTGAGTTGATGTTCACTTTGTGACTCGAATCCAGTATTGTTCGCTTCAGACGCCAAATGAATACCGGTGATAGCTTTTGGTGCAAACGATATACAGGGTTTGAGTCACACATTGAACATCAATTCCAAAATGCAGGTACATCCAGCTGACGAGTCCCAAATGGGACGAAACACGTGTCATTGATTCTATTACTAGCCACTATTCACCTCTACTTATAAAAATCTAACCAGTTAAGATGTTTGTAATCAATAGACAGTATAATGTACAATCTATTCAATGATTCACAGGTTATATACTTAGCAAATGCAAGTGGGTTATTTATTACGTTCATTTATGATGCCAAGAAGAATATATAACATATTTTTATTTATTAAAATATTTAAAACATTCTATCTTGAGTCTAATGCATCTTTATTAAATACAAATAATCACTATGTTCATTTGTTTTATTTTTAATAAACTCAAAATTAGCTAACTTATGTTAATGGATTTGGTTATTTATTCTCTGAAGAAGTAGCTTACACTAAGTCACGAAACCTCAGAAAATCTAATTTTTTCTACTTATTAGGATATTACACATATATTGATATATAAAACTCATATCAAGTTAAGATTTAGCTAAACAAAACAGTCCATAGAAATATAAATGTTTACGATGAATATTTAGACCAATGTTTTACAATGAACAATAGTTAATTACAAATTGATTTTTAAACGTTTACTTCTATTCTGAATTACAGTTTACAATGATTTTATGGGCATTAATGCTAAAGTTGTACTTGATTGTTTCAAATAAATTAAACATTGGGTAGAAAGTTCTAATGAGAATCTGTGACTAGTGGAGCTAATCCGTGTCAGGTAGAGACAAGTATCTATCGCAGATAATGGAAGATGGTCGCGTAATTTCGTGGATTAGTTAAAGTTAGACATTAAGACCGTTGGATACCAGTTAAATAGTCTACAGGCTAAGCCTTCCAGTGTTTCCAGGTTTTCAATGGTGTTTTAAAATTGATCCATTAATGATGTCAGTCAAAAACTTAACAATGTCCTCAACCCAATACTGATAAATACATTTCTTTTGTTATATCCCAATGAGTAGAAATATTGTATTGTATCACACGATTCGTGACTTATTGTTATTCAGAAAGATATTTCCCAATTGTATTAAAAGTGGTGAGTAGCCTAAGCATTTCATATAATGCTTAATTCCTGTGGCCTCAATAGGAAAGAAGGATTGACTATTCATCCAACATGGATTGTTTATCCAAACAACCACATTTGACCTTATTTATTTTCCACACAATCTACACATACTCACACACACACCCAATTTCAACCTCACTACTTCATATCACAAATGAACATTCTAACGCACAATTTAATACAGTTGTGGTGTTTGCTACTTATATAGACAGGTATAAGTAGTATATAACGCTAGTCAAAAAATGGAATGTCTGGCAGCAAAAAGGTTAAAAATATCAAAGAAATGAGCACGAGAACAGTGAATGATTGCTGTGGAAATGAAGGAACAGTCATGTTTGAGACAATTGATCAATATTTTACAAATAAATTATTTACTGTATGTTTCTCAGATTTTCTTAAATGATTCTGTAATTTTGTGCTCAAGTACACTCGATTGTCCCCGTTTGTGTTCCCATTCATTACGCAGTAATATGTCATACAAATTCGTCTACATTAAGAATAACTTAACTTTTACATATTCAGACTCTATTATAATTTTGATTGTACTAAACATATTCTACATTGTTTCTTATGTACTACTTAAACTTTTATTTAACTTCATTTCAATTACTTATTTACTCTGAAGATGTGGCTTATATTAAGTCTTGAAACCTCGAGAGAAAAAAAAAGAAAAATACAATTTTTTCTACTCATTGGAATTACACATACATACATACATACATACACATAAAAGAAATACTATATTTATTATTATTTACAATGATGTTTCCCCTCCCCTCTCCCTTTCATTCAACAGCAACAACAACAATAATAACAAAATAATAGAATAATCTAAGCTAAACTCTTTTAATACTAAGCCAATTTAATTCACTTGATCATTACGAAACTCAAATTCAATTTATTCACCATTTGTTTGATTGCACTAAATTACATCACTCATTACTCTTCTTCTTCTTCTTTGTTTTTCTTCTTTTTTTTTCACAACTAGTTTATAAGTTCATCATATAATATTCTAGTTGTTTACAATTTTCCATTAATATAAACGGTAATTTTATTTATTTCCTAAACATCTGCTTTTACTTTTTTTTTCTCGTTGCTCTACTTATCTATTTATTTATTTATTTATTTATCTTGTTTGAGTCCCCAATCGCAAGGTTAATAGGACAGAATAATGATAATAATAATAATCATAGTAGAATACTGAAAAGTGTAAATATTCATATTATTCGAAATTGTAATAAAGTAGTTTTTCAAGTACTTAGAAAATATCAGTATAAGTTTGTGGGGATGTTTAGATTTTTTTTGATATCTTGAATGAATGAATGGTAAATCATCATTGAAAACCTGGAAACACTGGACGACCGTTTCGATCTATTATGGGACTCGTGAGCATTGCACATCTACGATCCTGCGGAATGGACTCGAACTAAGGACCCTATGTCTTACATACAAACGCTTAACCTCTAGACCACTGAACTGGTATCCAACGGTGTTAATGTCTAATTTTAATCAATCAATGAAGTCACAAGACCATCTTCCATTGTTTTCAGTGAGTAACTACTTCAAAACAGACACCGTTGGATGCTGGTTCAATGATCTACAGGTTATAAGTTAGCGCACAAGATCAAGGGTCCTGTGTTCAAGTGCAGGATTATAAATGTGCATTGCTCACTGCCATCATACTAGGACGAAATGGCCGCCTATTTTTTCTACATTTTCAATAGTGATCTAACATTGATTCATTCATCATGTCAGTCTAAACTCTATATATTTATATAAATATATGTATACTTTATTAGATTATCACATTAACATATTACTTACGTATACAAGGATGTAATACTATAAGTGAAAATACAATTATTTATTGAGTTAATTAAGCATATGTATATGAGTTTTAGTATTGAAATGGGAAAATGTAATTTCACACAAATTTATTATTATTATTATTTGATATCAATGTGTAATCATTGAACATTATTTGTTTTATTACTTTGATTCAATTATTCACTACTTCATTATGATAGATACCTACCTCATTATGTATTGTAATAATCATAAGTTAACCTGTCTTTATTATCTACAATACAATAAATTGGATTTGATGCAACATATAGAATTGGAGATAAGAATACCGGTACTTACTTTAATTAAATATAAATATTATCCATGTAAAATGTAGTTAGTTGAAAATACTGAAGAAGATTAGTTTCATGAACAAAACTATAGTAATTTACTGTAATAAAAGTAATTAAAATTAGAATGGGTTTTTGTGGATATTATAGTAATTTTAATAGTTGAGATTATGAATCAATTGAAGCTAGACCACCATGGAGAATCGGGAAATACTGGAAGACCGTGGGACTCCTCAGCAGTGCACATCCACGGTCTCACCCCGCGAGATTCGAACCCAGAACCTATACTCACTAGTGACTGGCTTCAAGAAGTATTTCCTAGGGTTCTAGTAAAAAGCAGTGACCAGTGGAGTTCAACCAGGTCTGTTCTGAGATAATAATTCACTGAAGATAAAAGTGATTATTAACACAATTATCATTTGATCATTCATCTTCTATGATTATAAATATTATTCACGTATTTAGTTCTATTTTTCCTTGAAAAAGGAACACAAATAATGATTTTCATCTATTTACAACTGATTGATCACTGGATGATGATCAATATCATGTGTGTTAGGTTTTTCTTAGTGCAGATCAAATCCTATCGACTTGGATTTAATCAAAGTCACAAACGTTTATTCTATTTAGTTATGTTCTTGTCAATTGTTTATAACCTGTATTAGTTACATAAAGGTATTTCGTTGAAATTTGATATAATCACGTATTAGCATAGTGTACAAAATGCACAAGCATATATGAGAGATCAGACAATAATTACAAATATATACATTACATATGAACAACCTTTTTACAGCTTTGGTAATAACGAAAGAATAAAAGGTTATAAACAAGAATACAGTCTAAAAATGAAGTAATAATGTAATCTATGCACTGAAAGGGTTGAAATGGATTTTATAATGTAAAGAAATTGTATTTATGTTATCAAGGCAGGGAAAGATTAATACGTGGTTCGCTTTACTGTTTATACAGATTATGCCAAATTTTAGATGTGGGTCAAAAAAGAAGTCCATGAATTCATGGCACTGAGTAAATCTTGCTATCTAAGATAAATGACTTCCGCTCATTTATGTATGTATAAAAAGCACATGGTTAAAACGATGTTTCGTTTCAGTTAGCTATTGAATATAT